GTCGCAGTCGCAGTCGCAGTCGCAGTCGCAGTCGCAGTCGCAGTCGCGGCGGCGGCGGCGACGACGACGACGATGATGACGCCAAAATAGAATATAATCTGATGGAAGCAACGAAATCATACAAAACCAGCTGCAACAAACAAGAAACTTGAAAAATGATGGCCAGCTTTTGCCTGGCAAACCCCGCAAAGAAAAGAGAGAAAGAAAGAAAGAAAGACAGAAAATTGGACATACAGTTTTCTCAATGATCCCATCAGCCCAATGACAAGGCGCCAGGAATAGCAAATCCTCTAAGCTGAAGCCAAGGAGCAGTCTGACCTTTGATCTTCTTATTTCCTTCTAAGCCTCACTCACAAAGAAGCCTCTTGGGAGGTGCACCCCTTCGGTGTTAATTGCAATCTCCAATTGCAAGCATGCTGCTCTCAAAGAACATGTGCTCGTAAAAGCCGTGTAGAAGGTTTGCACTAGCCATAAATCTTTGCATGCACCCCTTGGCTGAAAGACTTGTGCCTCTTTCGCAGACAGAAGTGCTGCAAAACAAAAAATCAAGCTACAGCAGTGCAAACAAGACAAGTTGCATCCAACTGCCCAGTAATTGTATTTCTCTGTCGCAAAGCATAGATGGCCGCCAACGCTTCTTTGCTGCCACCTCCAAGGAGCTGCAAGCAGGAGCGAAGTCGAATGACTCGTAGGAGGCCAAACAGGCCAAATGTTATTACATATACATCTTTATATGCTGATCGACATTGTCTTCCTGAGAGCACTAACGTTGACCCGACCTTCACCGATCATGCCACGGACTGCTGACATTACCTGATCCATAGCACTGCCGCAAAAAGGAAGAAAGAAAGCCAGCGTTGACCCAAAGGGTACCATCATGGCGAAACCAGCTGGATCAAGACATCAAATACACATTCACTGCAGCCCTGCTTCAGGACAGATTGCTGACTGCCAGTGTGCGAACCCTTGAAGCAAAAAGTGGGCAGGTGGTTGGGTGTGGCGAACCTCAAACTAATCATGTTCTGGCTGGCTCAGCTTTGCTCCCTTCAAATCTGGAATCCTCTCAAGGTTCTATATAGGACAGACTGCGACGAGAAGGGCACTATACAATTTCTGCTAGGATGGATCATCATTGCAAACACCCAAGGGTGCCCACATCATCCTAGATTGAGAGAGGGAGAGAAAGAGAGAAAGAGAGAGAGAGAGAGAGCGAGAGAGAGAGAGAGAGAGATAGAGAGAGAGAGAGAGCATCAAAAATGTAAAACTGACTGCAAAATTAATATATACTATATATATATGGTGCACCCCAAGATTGGTGGTTGCTTATGGTTAGATGCATGTATATGCACATCACATCATGTGCATATGATTTGTACGTATGTAGACAGCAATGCACATCACATCATGTGCATCTAACTTGTACATGTGTGGGCAGTATCACATTATATGTGCATGATTGCATCCAACAAAACACAAACACAAAGCAAAATACCATTTCAATTACACCGGCAAGGGACCCCAAATAGTGTAAAGAGGAACAGATGGAACATGGCATCACGTGGAAGGAAAGAAGGAGCACACAGATGAGAGCACAAATATGAGAGGATACATACAAGAGCACAAATGTGAGAGTGCACAGATGAGAGCAGCAGATGCGGAAGCATAAAAGTGGTGGTGGTGGTGGTGGTGGTGGTAGTGGTGATGGTCATGGTACTGGTGGTGGTGAAGGTGGCGCTGACGGTGGTGGTCGAGCCAACAACTTCCAAAACGGCAAGTTCATTGAAATTCAAAACCCTTCAAGAACATCTGCACATCGAGATTCACGAGCACAAATGAGAGCACACATATGAGAGCATATGGGAGCACATATGAGAGCACATGAGAGCACACATCTGAGAGCACAAATGTGAGAGCACATACAAGCACAAATCTGAGAGCACATAGGCGAGTACATAGGAGCATTTCGAAGTTCACAATGTACCGCGCCTGCCACGAAATCTGCACATCGAGGTTCACAAAGTACTGCGCCTGCCACGAAATCTGCACATTGAGATTCACAACGCGCTGTGCCCGCTACGAAATCTGCACATCGAGATTCACAAAGTGCTGCGCCTGCCACGAAATCTGCACTTCCAGACTCAGCAAGTGCTGCGCCCGCCACGAAATCTGCACATCTAGATTCACACAGCGCTGCGCCTGCCATGAAATCTGCACATCGAGATTCACAAAGTGCTGCGCCGGCCACGCAATCTGCGCATCTAGATTCACAAAGTGCTGCGCCTGCCACGAAATCTGCACATCGAGCTTCACAAAGTGCTGCGCCTGCCACGAAATCTGCACATCGAGATTCACAAAGTGCTGCGCCTGCCGCGAAATCTGCACATCGAGATTCACAAAGCGCTGCGCCTGCCACGAAATCTGCACATCGGAGATCCAAAATGAGCAAATTGCACGAGGCTTTCGCAAATTTTGAAATGCGTTTCAGAAACGCTGTGCCTGCCACGAAATCATGCCTGCAGGTCATACGAAATGCTGCACTGGCCACGCAAAAGCATCCTCAAGTTCAAATTCCAAAAATGCGACCCCTCTCACGAATTCAGCCGTCTCACCTCAAAATATCGCATCCATGGTGCGGATTCCCTGCGCCTGCCACGTGAAACGCAATCCTGCGAATGACACACGCCTGCCAACCTTTTTGCAACGTCCACAAAACACTGCGCCTGCCACGAAATTTGCAAAGTCTCCGATTCCTTGCACCTGCCACGTAAAATGACCTTTTCGAGGCTCCAATGTGTCGAATTCCTTGCGCCTGCCACGCAAAATGCACTTCATGTCCGAAAACGAGCACGGCGCCTGCACGAGAGCTTTGTCCCGCAAGCGCGAAAACCGCGACACCCACTTTATGCGAGCCTGCGCAGTCGAAATGGACATGAGGAATTCAAAAAGTAACTTTTGTGCGAGCCGGCCCACGCAAAATGCCGGGGCCACACGCGCGAACCCTGATCTAAACCCGGCCCTTAACTCTTACCGTAAGAACCCCTTAGTGCGGAGCACTATTTGGGGAAAAAGAACAATGGTCAACTGGTCCAGAGACCAGACTAGTTGTGGAAACGGTTGCTTTTTTGGCTTTCTCCAGCTTTTGGTCTGATCCTGGAATAATCCTGATTAATAGCATTCTACTTCATGACTCCGGCACTTAGTTCCAGCCGTCGTCCCCAATTTGAGACACTTGGGCATGGTTCAAGTC